ATTTTATAGACCATCACATTACATAAAGCCCTCTCCAGACTAGTGAATTTTATTTGACAAATTCGTGCGACATGCCCAAAATACGGTTAGGATGACATCACATCATGACTATAGGCACATCCTGACTATTATAAAACAGAACATTTGATAGTGTGGACAGAGTTTAAGAAGAGAGCCGTGGATATCAGCTCATCTTCTCAGGTAGACCCATATGGTTCACATGAAAGTTCAATAAAAATAATTGTACTTTTAAACTTTCGTGTATATGTAAACAGTGCTACAGTATTACCTTCTGAGTGTAAACAAAGGTTGTTGAGAGACTGTATTGAGAACGGGTAAACCTTTAACCGAAAGGTCCACTGATTATATGATTTGTTTATAAGAATCATTGAAATAATAAATGCCTATCACCTCAGCCCTACCATGGTTGGAGATGAGGTAAGACATTTTATGATTATGGCACATCTATGTGCCCGGAAATGACACTATCCGACTTAAACTTTGAATACAATTTTCTTTTTTCTCCATTAAAAAAAAAATTCAAACAAAATTAGGAAAGGGGGGGGGGGGGTGGCGGCCGCTGGCTGTTTTCCTTGAATCTGCCACTGATGTTTATTTGTTGTAATATCTTTTGGTATTTTACCTCAGCCTCAATTTGTTCTTATTATTGTTCTAATTTCAGGTGACTTCAGTCCCTTAAATGTTCTTATAAATTGTGTTCTTATATAAAAGTGTAGGGCCTACAGTATGTATTGTATCATCTTATATGAAGTGTAGACTTAGATTCATGAATCAACAAGTATTTCTCACGGTCATGTAGCGTGTATAGTTGGAATAGGATTACTCATACATTTCATCATTAGTATAGAATTATTTTGTGCCATCACACGCTAGGCCAAAAAGTCACTCCATGCTAAGTCTGTAATCAACCACATACCAGCTCCGACTAAGATTTGCCATCATGCAAAATGCGCTGTATAATAATCTAGCCTACAATGTAATTGTTAGGTCTACTGCACGCGAAGGCCAAAGGTTGGTCCGGGATTATTTCCTTAAATTGTATTAACATATGACAGTAAGTCACCGGTACTTCCTGTCAAAAAAGAAGACAGAGAGCAATAACGGTATAATGCCCTTGACTTAGGATCCCACATCCGGTGGAGAGACATGTCTTAAGACGAAATCTCCATTTTAAATTTAATACATCATCGATGACTTTTGAAAACAATTGCCCATTCTCCGTTAATCACCTCACCAGCATGGAGCCAATTATATAATTACAGTTGTATAGTATATTATTGACATATTATCACTTTATCTTAACGACGAGGAACTCACTATAAATATTTAATGACTTTTGTATAAGCGTATGGTGATACAGATAGGCCTATGGATAATTGGCATTACCTAGAAGAACTATAGTCAAATCCATTGGGTCAAATTACAAACCGGAAATAAAAATATGCCAGGATTATCTAATAGTTTGAGTTATTATTCTGTGTTCTGCGGATGGCAAAGAAAAATAGCATTCTCTGTGGCTTACGAGATAATATATACTTCTGGGTCAAATTCAGTGAGCGTAGGCGGGCTACAGATGTAAAAATTACCTTTTCAAGCACTACCACCTACACTGAAAGGTCTACATGGGCATAGTACGTCATCTCGGCTGTCACGTAGACCCTCTTCATCATTGTGGGTGTAGTTTTTAAATGTATAAAACGCAGCGGGTCAATATTTAATTGATTACCATCCAAACAGCGACTCCTTTGCTGGCTGTATTCATGTTAGTTTGCTATGGTAAATTATTAAGACAGTGGAATTCTCGAACATGCAGTACTACACGTCAGTTAGGTATTCTATAATATGCCAGACAAGACCAAACTATTATAACTATCACAGAATTGAATTACTAGGCCTGTACCAGTATACTGCACATGAGGCAGATGCAGGGGAGGGGGGGCGATCACACCTCCCTAAATTGTATTATGAAAAATAATCGTTGTATTTTATTGTTGATATATTATTTTTAGTATTAAAAATATAAGTACCAGGAAGATTTTAAAAATATAAGAGTGCAATTTTCGGGAACCTTAAGGACCATATTCTCAAAACTTTCTCACCTCAGCCCCAGCCTGCCGTGGGGCTGATGTGGTGTGGATTCTCACGCACCCCTACCGCGAAATCCTGCATCCGCCCAGTGGATTTTCTTCGATTACCAACACGAAGTTGTGAATTAAATTTAGTTACGGGGTCCATGGGGGTCACCAATTGAATCTCTAAGCAGTTGTGAAATTATTTAATATAAGAAATTATTTAATACAGATGGCTAAAACTCCGGAGCTCCAGTGGTCACATAAAATTCTCTCCCCACCTAAAAAAAAAATGATCCACGATACTGAATTGCAATATTATTGTACTTGTGTGATTATGAACATTTATAAACCGATATTTCAGAATAATACACATAATCTGTCACTGGATATAATATGAATATGTCCTACATATAAAAATTATTGGCATATAAAAAACACAAGGCCGAGTAATAGGCTTACAACATACAGTACAATAAAACGTAACATTATTTATTAGACTTATATCGTTTAAACCCTTCATTATATATCAGTATGTATATATACTGTATGTTACACACACACTCATATATATATATAGGTCTATATATAGGCCTATATATATTTATATATATAATATTTGTATCCGTATGTGTCCGTTATATGTTGTAGAGCCAAGCCAAAATTTTTGATTTCCAATTTGAGGACCAATAAACAATTATTATTATTATTATTATTGTTATTGTTATTATTATTATTATTATTATTATTATTATTGTTATCGTTATTATTATTATTATTAATAATATATATATATATATATATATATATATATATACATATATATACATACATATACACCTACACACCCCAACAAACACACAATAT